ACCCCTAAACCCTAAGCCTGAAACCCCAAACCCCTAAACCCTTTGAAATCTTCCGAGGCCTCACCTGGGGCTTGTGCCGTGGCCATGGGATAGCAGGATTTTGGGTCCGTGGCCATGGGATAGCTGGATTTTGGGTTTAGGCTTCCAGGTTTCGGGATTGTTGTTGGGGGTTTAGGGTTTCTTTACAGGTTCCCTTTCAGGGGTTCTATGAGGGATTTGTCGGGTTTGGAGGTTTTAGTCTTTCTTGGTGTTTGGCAGTGTAGGGCTTTGAGGTTTGAGGCTTCAAGGTTCAGGGTTTGCTGGGGTTTTGTTTGCATGGGTCCTCGGACCGGAAAGGGCGCAGGCTTCGAAGACTCTATCAGCCTAGCATGTATGCAGCTCTGGGGCTACAGTGCAGTTACTTGACACGCACACACCAACATGGCTCTCAAGACTCGACCCAGGATGTACGCGCAGTTTGGTTTGATGGCTGCTCCTTGGCTGAACATGCGCGGGCGTGCCGTCGGGGTGCTCATGCCATGGCGTCTGGATCAGCAACAGCAACCTCAAACCTATCGTCACCCTCGTGGTCATCGTGACCACCACAACATCATCGCCTTCCTCTTCATCACGTACTCCAGCCCTCCTCCTGCCCTTTCTTCTCACTGTCATTCGTATGCCCTCACAATTGCCATCGCTACCATCGCAGCCCTTCAGCATGCGAGTTGATGAGTAGCAAGTAGTTGTGACATGTTCAGAGCGGAGGTTGTAGCAGTAAGGCCTATCAAAAGCTTTGCATTTTGAGTTTGATTGCTTTTTGCTTGTTGTCCGCCGATGCTCCATTGCCGACAGAGCCGAAGCAACGAATCGAAGCCCTACGTAATCCCGAAGTCCTCAACCCAAACACCCTCTTTATAAACAGGTGATGGGGTGTTCGCGGTTTGGATGTTTTGGGGTTCCTAAACCCTGGACCCTAAACCCGAAATCCTGAACCCAAGATGCTAAACTCTAACGCCTCAAACAGTACAAAGCGCCTGCCCAAGATGGGCTCGGTGCTACGTGGCTTTCGCAAGACTTTTATGCAGACACCAAACCACCCTAAACGAACACACCGAGACCGAAGCCGTGGGTTTTCGTTCTTCTGATGTGCCCAAGCGATCGGAGGTGCTAGCCGCGACCACAGCGCTTTGGCAGGTCTACAGAAATCGTGTCTCCTGTCCAAGAGATATGGCTGGAACGACGGTTTAGGGCTTAGGCGGCCTGGCGTGGGTTGTAAGTTCAACTCGTGTTTGCAAGCCAAGTGCAAAGTATCTGGCACACCCTTTGTTTCTTTCCTTCGTGCTCTCGTGGTCCAATCTCTCAGGCTTCTACCTGACACGATCCTCCAAAGCCCGAAACCCTAAACCCTAAACCCTAAGTACCTCAACCCCATCGCTCCTGCCCTGATACCACGACCATTCAAGAACGCCTCAAGCTCTCGAGCCGGACATCCTTCCATGAGCCCATTATGAACAGTCGCGAAGCCTTTGAAACCTACTGAATCCCCCACATCACCGTCTAAAGCGCTATGCAACTAACCCTAACCCCGGAGCGCCCCGAAAGCCCCAAAACCAACAAAAGGGTTTAGGGTTGAGGGTCTAGGGTTAGGGCCCGAACTCTAAGCTCTGCAGCCTCGACAACGGAGGTGTCTGCCAGCGTGAAGAGAGAGTGCAAGAAGCAAAGCAAGAGCTTCGGTGCCTTAGCCTGGAAGACACGCTCTTGAAGGTACGTTTAGGGTTTAGGGTGTAGGGTTTAGGGTTTAGGGTTTAGGGTAAGTACTTGTCAATAGGCATCTGGTTCCTTTAAGCTGTGTTAAAGAGTTCTATGAGGGTTATTATAAGGGTTTATGATACCGGGAGTTGAGGGTATGGGTTTTTGGGGTGTTTTGGGCCTGGGGGTTCAGCAGCTAGAGTACGATACTCTAATACTTTCTGGGGGACTTGTTCCTTAAAGGAACCGCTATGACCTATGACTGAAAGTCTATACTTGTTCCCCTTGGCTATCCTGACTTCAAAGTCTAGTATCGTATCACGCCTGTACTACATCGTCTTAAGGCCGAAGCCCTTGAATCTTTTTCACCCTCGAGTTCAAAACCTGAACAAACTGAGCGCGAGATTTTGCACAACACCCTGCCAACGTTTCCCATAACAACTGCCGTATAAAGACACCCAAACCCTAGTCTACCTGTGTTGGCCGCGACATTTAACCCTGGTCCTCCGAGTCCTTTGCAAAAGCCTCAAACTCTAGAGGTTTAGGGTTTAGGGTTTAGGGTTTAGGGTTTAGGATTTAGGGTTTGGGGTTTAGGGTTTAGGGTTTAGGGTTTAGGTAGCAACAATATGCCCTTATCGCCCCTATACACTGGGGAAGTCTGCTTTCAATACCCCTAAACCCTGTTCCAGTCAACAAGACCCCTGTTTGGAGCTTTGAACCTTCGGGGCCAACGAAGATTTTGTTTGCGGTGGTAGGAAGTACCTTGCACAACCCAGATTTCACAACTTATTCCAAACCCTGCGCCGGAATCCCTTGTAGGTTGGAGGTTCATGGGTGGGCCCCAGTAGGTTTAAAAGTCTCCCAATGTGGGTCGTAACTTTAGTCTCCCTACCTACAAGCACTTATAACTACCCATGAACCTCCAAATAGAGACCTAAACCCCGCACCCTTCAAGGCCCAAGGCCGCCCCTAAACCGGGGCCCCTGAAAGGACCCCGGTCCCTAAGACTTTCAGGCATGCCTTTGATGTTTCACTCGCCCGACAGCGTGTCCTGGCAGCGTCAGGTTTACGTAATCAATGGTTCTGAGTTCAGAGTCGACGGGTTACGGGTTGATGTTTAGCTTTGTCAGCTGCAAATGTGAGGTTGCGGCTTCTGGTTCAGGACGTCGGGTGCAAGGAAGCGGTCTGTAGGGTGTGCATGGTGATGTATTACTAAACCCGAAACCCTAAAACCCGAAACCCTAAACCCTAAACCCGGTTAATGCTCTAAGAACTGCGCACGGAATCATTAAGTAACGGTGGGGTACTTCTGAGAGCGAGAGCGGGGACACCGCCTCGTAGGCTGCCAAGATGGGGTGAGGGTTTAGGGTTTAGGGCTTAGGGCTTAGGGTTTAGGGTTTATTTAGGGTTTAGGGTTTAGGGTTTTGGGATCTAGGGGTTTAGGGTTTAGGGCTTAGGGTTTAGGGCTTAGGGTTTATTTAGGATTTAGGGGTCTAGGGGTTTAGCGGTTTTGGGTTTAGGGTTTAGGGGTTTAGGGGTTTAGAGGAGGCCCATGAGACCCTCCATGGTAGGGGCCTTCATCATTAGACTTGGGTTTTTTGGGGGGAAATTATATTATGTATTTCATAATAAGCATCTCCCCAAATTCATAGTATTAGTAATTATTTAGGCCCCTATAGTAGCCAGAAGGCCTCATGCATTAGAGGGCTGCAAAGCGCAGTCGCACTGTAAACCCTAGCCCGCTAACCCCAAAACCCTTACCCAGGACCAGCTTAGCTGCCAGTATTCGAAGGGATCTGGGGCTCAAGGCTTAAAGCTTCAACCTATAATATGCAATAATTTAATGTAGCATACTATAGTTCACTATGGTATACTATATAACATACTAGGATATACTACGGCTTCAACCCGGAACCCTAAGCTTTGGAGCCCAAATCCGCACAGACGTCCCGAGCTTCAGCGACAAGATCGTCTTGTCACTGTCCGTGAAGCGAAGAAAAAAGAAAGCAAACCGTAAGAGATAGAATAAACCAGTCCCGATTACTTTCGGTCTCACCCTTCTGGTTCTTGCCTTCAGGGTTTCGGGTTTAGGGTGCAAGCTTTATTGGCTTTTCAGGTTTGGGCGTCAGGTCCAGTAAGCGGGCGTAAGCACAGCCTCAGAAACCTTAGACCCTGAACCTTAAAACCCCCTACAGCCCAAAACCCTAAAGTAAGGTGCCGCGGAAGTTCACCCAGCTGCTCGGACCGATCACGGCTTTGACACGGGGCCCCCATGGCCATGGCACGATGAGAAGAAGACCCCCTAGTTCGGACTCGGGACCTTAGGGTATAGGGTTCAGTTTTTAGGTTTAGGATTTAGGGTTTAGAGTTTAGGGGAGCATAACCAGACAAAGCAGGAGACCTTAATGTAGGGCCCAAGCAGGTCATATGTTTAGTTTCGGGTTGTGTCGTGAGGCATCATGCAGGCCGAGAGTGGGGTGGATCTACGCTTCTTCTGTCGGAGTGTGGCTTCCTAAACCTTCAAAGCCCTTGCCCTAAACCAGTCACAGGCATTAAGAAGCAGTTCCAGAATTCTCACCTTTCCACAAAGCTCCCTGAGAGTTCATGAGTCCAGAAACAGCTCACTTGAAAACACGCTCGCGAGTTGCCTCTCGTGTCCCATTGTCTTATTTCTAGGGTTTAGGGGTTTAGGACTTAGGGTTTCCATCAAGGATTTCTCCTTTGTAGGGATTTATACAAGGGTCCCCCAGTGTTTGAAACTTCCCTCTTACTTAAGTCCTTATTCGAAGTTTTGGCTTGTTAAGGTCTGGAGTCCCGGTTTGGGTGCGGTATACTGCTGATGGACCGAATCCGGTATCACCTCATTCTACAACAACAATACAATTTATTCTACCTTCAGCTTTGTGTTAGGCGAGGGGATTTAGAGTTTTCGGGTCTGATGCACCGCCTAGATCTGCATCACCGAAGCCAGCCTGAAACTGTTCATGTAAAGTTCAACATCGTAGGTCAGTAAGTCATTCATCCTCGAACAGTTTTTGAAGGTATCAGCATTCCGAGTCGTAAACCCAGGGCAAACGCTTAGCTCCGCCCGTTTACTCTGCTGATGCATCGTACCTCCCAGAGTTTGGACAGCTTCTTGGCCCAAGCCCTCAAGCTTTCGATCCGCCTGGATTGGCAAGCCCTGTAAAGAGGGCTTGTACATACACCCTCTTTTAAAGATGGATTTTTATAAAAAAAACTTGTTGGCAAGCCTTAGAAGCTTGAAGCCTAAGGTATGGATTTCGATCCTCCTGGATTGGCACCCTGGTGATTTATGCCTGGGTCTTCCTTCCACTGGCTGGCTACGTCGTGATGATCTGGGGCCTGTGGATTGCCTACGCATCCCGGCTTGGTTCAGGGTTTGATATGGGTTTATAGGTCTTATAATGGTTTCAGGGGTTTCAGAAGGTTTTGTAGTGGTCTTGAGATAGGGGCCCTATGACTAGTTAGATTTTGGTTTTAGTGTTTTGAGAGTATAGTGACATTAAGGAGCCCGAAGGGAGAGTGTTACTAAATTACCGAGTATTCAGGCCCTGATAGATCAACACAACCCTTCTTCGTTCTGTTTTCATAGTATCTGAAAAAACTGTCTAGGCGTGCCGTGATCCAGGTGGGTATACGCATTGCACCCGAGTATTCAATGCCCTCATAGCCCTGTTTCCTTGAAGCTTGCCACCTGCATGACTTTGGCTGTCGGGCACAGCAGCGGAGTATCTATTCTTTGACTGTGCTGCCATGTACCGCACACATACATGTGTACATATATATATATATATATACATATATGTATATATATATACATGTAGATATGTTTTATACTTTGTCTATGTACATGGCCTAGATAGCAGCATCTGGTCTTAACACATGATGTGCATACTGTTTGTGCAGTCCAGTGGCTGGAGAACTCATGAACTAGTTCTTAGTAGAAAAACCTGCCGAACTCGACGGCGATTGTTCTTTTCGAGCTCTTAAGGTGATCGACACGGGGCTCTACTTCCCGCCCGGCACGGACTACTGGAAGAAGGCAGGGTTCACGGTGTAAAGGTTGATCCAGAAGGACTGGAGGCTTCGGGGCTACTAGACCTTGCACCATGAAACCCGAGGTGTTGCTGTCGTGTTTATGCTGACATGCCACCCTTGATAGTGCTGGTGTTCTTCTCCTTGGTTGGTCAACATCATGTTTAAGATCATGACAAGAAGCAGCAAACCACAACAAGAAGCTCAATCGAGGGTCCGTAAACCCTAAACCCCTAACCCTAAACCCTAAAGCTACTGCATAAAAAAAAAACCCTAAAGCCTTAAGCCCCAGGCCCTAAAGTCTCGGGCGCGGACAGATTCATTGGGTTTAGGGTTTAGGGTTTAGGGTTTAGGGTTAGGAGACATCCCACTTTAAACTTCGACTTTGAGCGTCAGGCTTTCCGTGTCGGAGATCGAGCGTAATAATGGGGATCTGAGGAGTGGCCTGTAGAGTCGTATCTGTGCATGTAATATGCAAGCTTAATTACCAATATGATTCCTCATAGGGTTCCTTATGATATTGATGCTACAAAGAAGCCCAGAACCCTCTTCTAACTATTGAGGCCCTACCTTGGACGTCTACCTCCAGGTCTAGGTCCTTGTACAAATATGTGTGTCCGGTATCTGTCTATGAACCTTTGCATGTGTCTTCGTACGTGTATGTGTACATGTTATGCGCATGTGTGTGTGGGTGTGGGCGCATGTATGCATGTGGATGTGGATGCGTATGTGCACGTGCTTTTGTCCGGGCCTGCACTTGTATCTGTGGCAATCTATGGCCAATGCACATGCAGAGTATGTACGTATCGCACAAAGGCCGCTGCAACGCCCCCCCCCTCCCCCCCCCCACCCCACCTTGTGAGCTTCAATCGGCACAACCGGAACTCTCTGCCCTAGTGTTTATGCGTCAGGTTCATGGATGAGGATATAGGGGCCAGAGTTCCCTAAGGCTCCATGTGCCTATGTAGTATAAAACTTAGGCCTTGAGGTACCGATATAGGGATTACCTTTAAGGTCTAGGTATATACTGTATAGGCACATGGAGCTTTTGGGGTGAGGGTTTAGGGTTCAGGGTGATTAATGTTCAGGCTCTAGGTTCTAGCAAGGATTCAGCTCAGAAGCCTCTTGGCCTTAAACGAAGACTGTCCGAGCCCTAAACCCTAAACCCCCAAAGCCCCAACGTCACTTGTCAGAGGCTTTTGGCACTTGGGATGGCCTGATGATGCCTTGGTGCCTTTGCCGGCTTTGTTGGGAGAGGGCAGTGGCGATGGGGGAGCTCTGGATTTTTGGTGTATGGCTCTGTGGAGTTTTGCTGGGCAACCTTAATCCGTCCTTTAGTTCCTTGGGAGGTTGACATTTGGAACGCAGAGGGGCTCTGCCTGGAGTTTCATGGGTAGTTATCAAAGGGGCTTTTATAAGTGGGGTAACTATAACTACGAGCCATATTGGGGGACTTTCAATACCCATGAACCTCCAAGTAGATTAACTAACAGGAACCAGGAATCGTCTGGTTGTGTAGTTGAGAAAGGCGCGAGAGAACCAGAGAGAGAGAGAGAGAGTCCAGAAACTACGGTTTCCGCGAAATCCTGGGAGAGTTTAGCAGAAAGCCACCGAAACCCTAGACCCTAAACCCAAATCACAAGACATGCCATGGCTTGTGCAGGAGCAAGATTGAGTCTTTGGGGGCTCTATGTCTAACATGAAGCCTCAACCCCCCTAATTATTAGGGTTGTGTTTAGGGGTTTAGGGTTTAGGGTCCTAGCCTGAAGCCACAGGCTCGCGTGCACTCCGTCTATCCAACAGTCTTAGCTTGAAGTGCAAGCCCCTGAACTTGAAGCCGCGAATGCTCGGGAGTCCTGATTATTAGGATTCTAGTGGGAGGGTGGGGGTAAAAGGGGCGTGTAGTGAAGAGTTGATCGGTCGCCCCTGGGCCGTAAACCCTGAACCCCTAAACCCCGAACCCCTAAACCCTCAACCCCTAAACCCCTAAACCCCTAGGCCCCAGGCGTTTCCTTGCGAGACAGTGAGATTCTGAGCAGCCCTGCAGAGTCTCATCCGTAAATCCTACACCCTCTACCCATAGGCCCTAAAGTCGTTCCTTTTGGGGGTTCATATATAGAAATCTTTATATGAACTCCAAAAAGGAACTACAATGGAGACTATAGGTATACCAAAGCCCTAAAGAGTCCGGGGTTCAGTCCGGTTTAAATAGGGTTTAGTGGTTTAGGGGTTTAGGGTTCAGTCCCGTTAGTTTAGGGTTCAATCCGGTTTAGGGTTTAGGGCTTAGGGGTTTAGGCTTCAGTCCGGTTTAGGGTTCATTGGACCGGAGTACCTATAGGGTCATACCCTACCCTTTTTTTTAGGGTACCTACTTTTTTTATATAACAGATCCTAACCACAAAACTAGGTGCCTTAAAAAAGGGGTAGGGTATGACCCTTTAGGTATTGTGCAACCCCTACGAAGTTTCTGCAGCTGCAAGCAGCCATCCTGAGACCGCAGAGCGACCGCGAAAGCTTCAGTTTAGGGCCAAGGGTTTGGGTTTAGGGTTTAGGGTTTAGGGTTTAGGGTTTAGGGTTTAGGGTTTAGGTTTAAGTTTAGGGTTTAGGATTTAGGTTTAGGTTTAGGTTCAGGGTTAGGGCTTAATTTAGATTTAGGGTTCAGGGTGTCTCCATGTCAACCCAGACTCATAGTATCCTCCGATAGTCTCTCATATACAACTATGGCATGGTACACCCCAAAACCCTAGTCTAATGGTTCAGCTCAGTGGTGACGACCTCCAGAGAAGCTTGGAAGTTTCTGTGTTGGCAGATTGTACAGGGGTTTAGGGTTTAGGAGTTTAGGATTTAGGGTTTAGGGTTTAGGGTTTACAGAGTCAAACCTTACATGGTCCCGACTAACCATTTCTTGCCTCCCAACCACCACTTTACCTAAGCCGGGACCTTTTACCCGTGGTGGAGGAAAACGAAAAAACTCCGAAACTCCAGGCAATGGCTTTGAGTTGTGGTACTGGTGTAGTATGCTCTTAAGAAGGAGTAAAGCTTATGGTTTCCAAACGGTCTCCACAAACAACCCGGCAAAAGCCACGCCCTGTCGAGTGGCTTGTCTTAGACGCCCCCAACACCCTCTGAACGTCTAGACTATGCTGCTGGCGAGGTTGCGATGAAGTTCAGTCTAGTCTTGAGTGGTTTAGGCCTTATCCTTCTACTTTGAGGCTTACGAGTTTAAGTTTAGGGTGTAGGGTTTAGGGACCCTAAACCCTAAACCCTCTTAGTGCGGTCTTAGGGTTCTTCGCATAGAGCTTAGAAATGCACAGGGCTTCACCTGGGGTTTAGGGTTTAGGCTGCAGGTGCATTTGGTTTACCCTCGTCCACATTCTGGCGGGCATTGCCTCCAAGTTCTACACAGCCTCTTGAATGCATTATCCTGGCTAGGTCCTACACTAAACCCGAAATCCTGAAGTAAGCACCACACTCTAAAGCACGCCACAAATGAGACAAGCCTTTTCAATCCTAAAGCGAAGAGTCTCACCTGCATTTAACCCACACCTTACGACAAGCAAGAACTAAAAAAAACAAACAGCAAGCATTCCCTTAGAAATGGTTTCATGTGTGAGCCGGCATCGTGCGCCGCTGCCTCCCAACCCTACACACCGGAGGCTTGGTTCTAGAGTATTCCTAAACTCGTTTCATAAACACTATACAAATCAGCTTCCCCTGAAGGGGTGCAGCGTACCTACGGACCCAAATACGCGCCGCAGCGTTGCTAAACCCTAGACCCTAAACCCCCAACCCTAAACCCTAAACCCCAAAACCTTAACCCTACACCCGAAACCCTAAACCCCTTTGCGGGAGCACGATGTGGAATTCCCAAAGCCAAGCCCTTCGAACTGCAACGATTTCGAGACCACCGAGCCTTTTTGGCTTGCTGGCGCCTCCAAGTGCTCTCCCATGGTCACTACCCATAGGCCCCATAGTAGTTCCAGTTTGGGGTTCATAAAGTAGTTACTTTTTGAGGTTACTTGATAGGATTCTATATAATATATAGAACCCTATAAGGTAACCCCAAAAAGGAACTACTTTAGGGCCATGGGTAGGAGCATAGCACTGCTGTGGTAAGCCAAACCTCCACGAAAGCGACCTCAGAATGACCTCGCTGCGCACTGGGGACTTAGTAAAGTTAAGCTGAACCAGGATGCTACAGTCCCGCGCAAAGGCCATGAGTGCACAGTCGATGCTGCCTTGTGCCTCCATGGAACATGCAACCCATTTGAGTCCCGGTTGCAGTTGAAGAATCAGGCACGGTTCAAATCAGGTTTATGGAGGTCTTTTGAGGGGCTTCAGTGTTCTTGTATCAATGAAGTTCGGCACTTTCCGACAGTGGTTTATTAAGCTATTGACCCCTAAACCCTAAACCCTAGGCCAAGTCGTCTTCTCAGAATCCAATCTTGCCTGACATACGGCCTACCTGAACCCAATGAAACCTACACGTTGAGGGCTCCTTGGTGTAGTTAATCTTTGGGATTCAAGGTTTAGGATTTAGGGCTTATAAGGCTCCCTCCTATGATCTCTTTATATACTTCAATTGAATCTTTCAAGATAGTAGAGTCTTATGGGGGCGAAGGTAACTGCAACTAACCCTCGAACTCCTTAGGCCCCTAAACTCACGAAGTCATAAAGACTCCTAAGCCCCCAGCCCTAAATCGATTCAGGGTTTAGGGTTTAGGGTTTAGGTATCCCCGACCCTGCCACACCTCCAAGCCCCCAGACACTTAGCCTAAAGCTTCTGGCAGGGCTGACGAAGAAGCAGGTGACTCATCAGAATTTCACTTGGAGTTTATAGGGTGTAGAGGTTTACGATTTAGAGTTTGTCTGGCAGAGTTTTGGATTCAGTACTCTTGAATATTATCAGTTTTGAAGGGGTTTGGGATTTAGGGCTTAGGGCTTATCGCTTACATAGCAGGCTTGCGCAGACCTGAAAGCCACTCCAAGGCGGAGTGCTTTCACCGCATAGAACCTCTCGCGTTCAGGTGCTCTTGGGCCTTGCAGGAGCGCCGAAATCGATTTCCGGCTAAAACGCTTCCGAGTCGGTAGTCTTCGTGGTGACTGCGGACATGGCAACAGGTGAATCGGCGCATTACTGTAGTATAGTATCCGTTGGTAAATTCTACCATTGCGTACACTGTTGTATGCTGTCTTGAACGGTCGGTTTGTATATTGTACGCTGTAGTATGCTACACTACGCTGAAAGCCTTGCAATCTTTGTGGCTCGGACCAGTCCCCAACTAGGCCAGTAATTTTCTTTCGAAGCCATGAGTTTGAACATTTTTGTCTCGTAAGCACCAACCCCATGGGACTACAGGAATCTGTTCCTGCAGTGACTGATGCTCCGACAGACACCAGGACTCCGTCAGCTCTTCTGAGTGCGACCGATTCGGCCTTTGCTTTCTGTCGGCATGGCTGTGAAGTAGTCTCTGGGCGCGACCTGACTGCTGGCGGCTCCATGCAAAAGCGTGTGACAGGGAATGTGAAGACGATTAGTGCTACTTCGCGTGCCTTTGCTGCTGTTACGGAAGATGGCTTGCTGCACTGCTGGGGCGATCCAAAGTGCGGTGGAGACAACAGCGCGATCCATGCAGAAATGTTGTTGCCTGGTATCAAGCTGATTCAAAGTACTTCCCGCGCCTTTGCCGCAGTCACACAGGATGGGTTGTTGCACACTTGGGGTGATCCACAGTGCGGGGGCGACAGCAAAGCAGTCGTAGAGCATTTATGCGAGCCAGTGAAGATGATCCAGTCTACCTCCCGTGCATTCGCTGCAGTGACAGAAAGTGGACTTTTGTACACCTGGGGCGATCCACTGTGCGGGGGCGACAGCAAAGCAG